TGGTTTGTGTCAGAATTGAACTGAATTGTAGGACACTCAGCTAGTTTGGGAGAATTGGTTGGTGTGAGAATAAACTTGCATATCTGGTCAAAGAAGTGTTCTGTGTTGAGTGGGCATAGAGAAAAGAAACATTGTTAGTTTTTCATGTAATCATCTTAAAACAAAACAAAACAAAACAAAAAAACCTTTCCTTGACCCAATATCAAATGGGGCTCTCTCTCTTTTTTTTTTAGATTTTTTATTATAGGGAATTTCAAACACACACAAGCAGACAGAAAAGCATGGTGAACCTCCATGTAACCACCACCATCAGCATGTGGCCAGCTCAGACCCACCTAATTTACTTTCTACCTTCCAGTATTATCTAAAACAAACCAGCTCTTAAATATTTTCATACATGAACATTTCAGCATGTGCTTTCTTTCTTTCTTTTTTTTTTTTTTTGAGTTGGAGTCTCACTCTGTCGCCCAGGCTGGAGTGGAGTGGCGCGCTCACGTGATCCTTCTGCCTCAGCCTTCCAAGTAACTGGAACTACAGGCATGCACCACCATGCCCGGCTAATTTTTTGATTTATTGTAGAGATGAGGGCTCACCAAGTTGCCCAGGCTGGTTGTGAACCTGTGGGCTCCTACCTCCCCTTCCAAAGTTCTGGGGTTGCAGGCGTGAGCCTCCGCACCCAGCTCAGCAAAAACATAACTTCCTTTTACTACAACCACAATACCATTGTCACAACTAAGTCCTTGATGCTATCAAATATCCAGTGAGTGTCCACATTTTCAATTGTCTCATAAATGTTCTAATGTGTTTTCTGTTGATTTGTTTGAATTAGGATCCAAGTAAGATCCACACATTGTGATTGGTTAGCATGTGTTTTACAATTCTATTCCTGCAGTCTTTTCTTTTTTTTTTTTTTGAGTTGGAGTCTCACTCTGTCACCCAGACTGGAGTGCAGTGGCCGCTTCTGGCCACCGCAGCCTCAACCTGCTGGGCTCCAATGATCCTTCTGCCTCAGCCTTCCAAGTAGCTGGAATTACAGACACGCGCTACCACGCCTGGCTGATTTTTTGATTTATTGTAGAGATGAGGTCTGACTGCCCAGGCGGGTCTCGAACCCGCGGGCTCAGGCAATCCACTCACCTCAGTCTCCCAAAGGTGCAGGATTACAGGCTGAGCCACCGAGCCCGGCTGCTTTTCTTACAATTTATTTGTTGAAGAAATTAGTCTATTTTCTGGTAGAGTTTCTAGGATCTGAACTGTGCTGCTTCTATCTCTGTGGTATAGTTTATTTTTTTATTCCTTCTTTTATTTTAAAGATGTAGGGTACAAGTCAGGATTAGGTACATAAGTAATCTATGTGTGGGTAAAGTTTGGGCCTCCAATCGGGTCCTCACTTCCCCTGGTGTAGGCTCAGGTAACCTTTATACTGTTACTTGCCCCTCTATGGAATAGTTTATTTTTTATTTATTTATTTATTTTGAGTTGGAGTCTCACTCTGTTGCCCAGACTGGAGTGTAGTGGCCGTTCCCGGCCACTACAGCCTCGACCTGCTGGGCTCCGGCCATCCTTCCCCCTCAGCCTTCCAAGTAGCTGGAACTACAGGCGCACGCTACCACACCCGGCTAATTTTTGATTTATTGTAGAGATGAGGTCTTGCCAGGTTGCCCAGGTGGGTCTCGAACCCGCGGGCTCAGGTAATCCACTCACCTCATCCTCCCAAAGGCGCGGCATTACAGGCTGAGCTACCGAGCCCAGCTTGGAATAGTTTAACATGTTCTCTGTCTTAAGTTAGTAGTGGTATCTGGAAGTCTGATCCCACTCAAGGAAGTTATGGTGATGATGGTGTGTTCTTCTTCAGCCTAGTATCTGGCTGTCTTTCTTCTTTTTTTTTTTTTTTTTTTTTGAGTTGGAGTCTCACTCTGTCGCGCAGACTGGAGTGTAGTGGCCACTCCTGGCCACCGCAGCCTCGACCTGCTGGGCACTGGCGATCCTTCCGCCTCAGCCTTCCAAATAGCTGGAATTACAGGTGCACACTACCACGCCCGGCTAATTTTTGATTTATTGTAGAGATGAGGTCTCGCCAAGTTGCCCAGGTGGGTCTTGAACCCATGGGCTCAGGCAATTCACTCACCTCAGCCTCCCAAGGTGCAGGATTACAGGCTGAGCCACCGAGTCCGGCTTGTCTTTCTTCTTGACGTTGACCTTTGAGGCTCAAACCAGGGTCCATGGGTTCCCTAAGGATTGCAAAATGGTTCATGCCTTTCATTAGAGCACTGGATCCTGTTGGTTTGTTTAAGTGTGTAATTAAATGATTTTTAGTAAATTCAGTGAGCTGGGCAGCTAACACCATAGAACGTTTCCATCACCCCAGTGAAATCTCATCCATTTTTAGTTAATTCTTAGCCTCTGGCGACCACTAATTTGCTGTCTGTCTCTATCGATCTGTCTTTTCTGGACATGTCCTATCAATGGAGACACACAGTATGTGGTCTTATGAGAGCATCGGTTCTTAACCCTCATGTGCATCGGAGTCACAGGGTAGGGCGGGGTGGCTCTTCTCAATCCTGGATGCCTGGAAAACATCCCACGATTCTAATTCAGCTTGGAATAGGTAGGGCTTAGCATCTGAGAGCCTGAAAATCTCAAAGCTGATTTGATTGTGCAGCCCAGGTGGAAGGCCCTGCTTTGCCAACTTTCTCTGAAATGAGTGATTTACACCCACTGCCTCTACTTCCCCACCGCCTGTGTACTTCGTGACCATGACAATGTGGCTTCTGCCTCCACCACATGGCACGAAAGCTGCTCTGGCAAAGGCCTCCCAGTTGCTAAGTCCGGTGACCCATTTTCTGTCTTCTTACTTGCTTCTGCTCACACCTCACTTCCTGAAACCCTCTTCTCCTTCCCAGACACCCACTAAGGGACTGCTTCTCTTTTTGTCGGCCACACTTTGTCTGTCCTTTAATTACTGATGTTTTCCAGAAACCTCTTCTTCTTCCCTGCCTGGACAGCCTCATCCCCTTGTCATGCTCAGTCACCATCCTCGTGTGCTGGCACACCCCAGCATGTCTTTGGAGCTCCAGAACCATCCCCCTACCCATCCTCTGGGCAATGCCATCCACATCTGCTGCCATTTCAGCCTTACCCTGTTCAAAGTCAAACTCATTCTTTTTCCCCAGCTCTCCTGCTACCGATTTATATCACCAGGGCACAGTTCAGGAAACTCTCCGAGATCCCGTTTCTGCACATGTGATGTGAGAATGCTCCCTGTGGTGATTTCCAGATGAGAACACATATAGCTGGCCCCCCCGGGCACTCACTGCCCCTCCTGTGGTCCCCTCCTCTACCTCGACATGTTCTCTCTCTCGGAATAACCTCTGCCAGCTTTCAGCAACCCTGGACAAAGACCCAAGGCCTCCACATTCAATTAGATGCTAATTCTGTGAATCTCATTCAGAAACAGCTCTCAAATGTACCCTTGAAGTTGCTGAAGGTTGGGGCTTCATCCTTTTTTGTTTGGCCAAAATGGCCTCAGCCTGTCCCAATCTGTTTCTAATTGGTGGCTAAAGAAACTCTTCTGGAGCAAAACCATACTCATATAGTTTCCCTTCTTTTTTTGAGTTGGAGTCTCACTCTGTCACCCAGGCAGGAGTGCAGTGGCATACTCATAGCCACCACAACCTCGACCTGCTAGGCTCAGGTGATCCTTCTGCCTCAGTCTTCCAAGTAGCTGGAACTACAGGCACACGCCACCATGTCTGACTAATTTTTTGACTTATTGTAGAGATGAGTCTCGCTAAGTTGCCCAGGCTGGTCTTGAACACATGAACTCAGGCAATCCTCTCACCTTGGCCTCCCAAAGTGTGGGATTATAGGCATGAGCCACCGCGTGCCTGGCCCAATTTCTCCTCTTAAAATCCTGTGATGGCTCCTGGGATTTGGCCAAACCCCTTAGGGAAATAGTTCAATCCTTTTTCCCTCTGGTCCCTCCTCCCCCCCATTTCTTTTTTTTGAGTTGGAGTCTCACTCTGTCGCCCAGACTGGAGTGCAGTGGCCGCTCCCGGCCACCGCAGCCTCGACCTACAGGGCTCTGGAGATCCTTCCGCCTCAGCCTTCCAAGTAACTGGAACTACAGGCGCGCGCTACCACGCCCGGCTAAGTTTTGATTTATTGTAGAGATGAGGTCTCGCCAAGTTGTCCAGGCGGGTCTCGAACCCGCAGGCTCAGGCAATCCATTCACTTGGCCTCCCAAAGTGCTGGGATTACAGGCTGAGCCACCGAGCCTGGTCTCCTCCCCCCATTTCATCCATGAATCCTACCCTGGGCATCCCCTCTCTGTTGCTTGCTTTTAAGCCCTGCCTGCCTGTTTTTCCAGCCCTGAATGTCACCTCTGTCTAAAATGTCACTCATCCTTCCTCAGGGACACTTAGTCATTCCTTCTTCCATGCACCCACCATGCTTGGAAATGCTTCAGTGATTTCTTTAGCAAACACGCCCACTCTGTGCCAGACTATATTCCTAAGGCCTTTCAAATATAAACCCTTTGTTTTTGAAACAACTCTATTAGGTCACTATTATTATCCCCGTCCTAAATGAGGAACCCAAGTCCCCCGAGAGGTTGAGTTGCTGGCCCAGGATCCCGTAGCAAAGTGGCAGGGCCAGTTTTGGGACCCAGGAAGGCGGTTCCAGAGTCTGGGTTCTGATATACTCAGCTCCGCAGCCTTTCTGATGGGATAAGTATCATTGATCACACACTCCTAAGCTAGCCAGTATTAAATGGACAATATTCGACCATTTTGACCTATAAAAGCAGCACATTTGTATGGTTCAGTGTGCTGGGCATGTGGGATACAGCAGAAAACTCAATGGATAGATACGATCTTTGTCCTCAGAGAGGAAACAGCTACAGAGCATGACGATGGGAAGAACAGGGAGCTGAGCGAGCCTAGGACTAACCTGAGGGTCTGTGGGGCCCCTCGCTGAGGATGTTTGACAGAAGACCCGAAATGGGAGCTGAAGGGGGCCTGTGGGATGAGGGTGAGGGAAGTGGCTTCAAGGCAGAGGCACAACCCTGGAACAACATAGGCTAAGGCCTGACAGGTAAGAGAAAGAGCTGTCCATGCTGTCACCATGGTGGTCCAGCAATTTTTAGTACCTGGTACAGAGCAGATGCTCAGTAAGGATTTGTTAAAAGGATCAATGAAGCCGGGTTCGGTGGCTCAGCCTGTAATCCCGCGCCTTTGGGAGGCTGAAGTGAGTGGATTGCCTGAGCTCGTGGGTTCAAGACCCGCCTGG